CAGGGGCTGTGGTACAGGACTGTGATCTGATTGAAGCAGTTGTGCTACAACATTGCAAACAAAATTCTGTCCCTAGTTTTTTGTTGGAAAAGCAATCTTCTACTTAATGTGCTTAGCAGCAACAACAAAATTTCTCCTATTTAATTTCCATAAAGTCTCATTATCCTTCAGTAGTAAAACAACCCCAAGGGGTACAGTGCAGTTGCTACCACAGCATTTCTGGGATTTTCGGTGTCTCTTCTGATAACTGAGAGCACGTGTTGATCTGAAACCTGGCAGATATGTTTTCAGTGATATCCTTTTGCTTTGCATATTTCCTAAATGATTGTTTCTGACAGCTTTCCTTGCTTAGCTAAACCTTGTGCACGACAAGGCGATGTGTCAAAGAGGTGACAACAGACCTTGAATGGAAATCTATTGTAGTATCTGGACACCAGAAAAATTCCAAGCCTTAAACCAGTTTCATTGGAAAACTGCTCAGAACTTTTTAAGATTTTTTACATTTTTTTATAGATTTACTAGGTCTTAATGTGATTATTATCCAGACCACTTAACTGGGCCTTAGTAAATACTGAACTGTGTGCTCCCGTGCTTACTTTGGCTATTCCAGCATCCCTTTTCCCAGTGGCTGCCAAGGAGACGCGATGCTCTGACACCTCAGGGTGTCCAGCCAGCTCAGAGGGACATTTACCAAACCCAAGGTTTTAGTTGAGCCACTGACCTTTGTTACTGTGCACTGAAACGTAAGAACTGCAATAAGTTACAGTACTGGTGTTTCCTTTAGATTAAATCTAGAAACTAATGGCAATAGAAGCTTGCCTGAGTTCTTCTGACATGGGGGGTGGGGATGGGGAAATGTCCCTAATCAGTGTTGCCTCTGGTTTGGGGGGTTTGGGGTTTTTTATTGATTGTATGACTTCCATCTTCTCTTTACTATTGATCACTGGGTGGGCGTAGATCTCCAAAAGCACAGTACTTCAAGGAATTCATCAACAGAATAGTCTCCTACAGCTCACTTTTCCAAAGGGATTTAAGAGCTAGGAATGGCTCTTGTCACAATTGTCAGCATTTATTTTTTCAGCATAGGATTTGTTCTATTTCAGATAGTGAACTAAAGCTACTGAACATGTGCTGTGTCCCAGTGCAGAGCCATGGCTGTCCTCGCCAGCTGAGATAACTGAGCAGCGCACACAAATTGAACTGTGCAAGCTTGCATCTTATCTTCCTTTTCCCTCCTCCAGTTACTTCAATTATCAAAATTATTCTAGTCTCATGTTTAGTGTGTAAAGTGTCAGTAAAAACTTATGGCCTTAATCATATAAAAATATTTGTTTTGAGCAGACCTCAAGCTTATTGACCAAGTACAAAACAGTATGAAGCTCTATGGAGCAGTTTTTTGAAGGTGGTTATAGCAAAGGTTCTGAATGCCTGATTTTTCATGTCTTAAGTGCTTAAATGTCACTTGATGTGAGATCTAGATATGCTTAGCAAGGTGATGTAGTAAAGCACTATGATCCAAAGACACAGAAGTATTTTAAATACCACAGTAGTAACAGGAGGAGCAACCTTCAGAGGAGAAAAAATTACTTTCTATACTAAGACAATAATTTTATTCAGAATTTTAGCTAAATAACAAAATCTGGCTGTTTTTTCTATACATTCTTTATTATCATTTTGAAAGAGATGGAAAATGTAAAATTGGCAGTTTTTCTCTCTGTAAGGTAAAAATTTGAATTCTTGCAGTAATTATAAGTAGGACAAGTCCTTTTGTCTGACAGGCTTGCATGTGTGAGCAGGGAGTGTGTGCTTAGTGCTTCACTATGTCTTACCACTTGTTAAAATGCATTGGCAGTACAGTCTGAAATGGACTTTTCATGAAGAGTTGATCCAGTAGTGATACAGCAACATGACGTTTGTGTTATCCTCTGATTGTCACTCAGATTTCTGCCTGGCAAATGTACTTCAGGACAACTCGTAGCAAAGGTTTAATTCAGGCTGTGTTTAGAAAATAGGATTCAGTTTAATGAAAATGAGCTATGTAGTGAATGCCAAAGTAAGATATTATAACTTAGAGAAGAATCACAAATATTGGTGGAGATGGAATTTACCAAGAATGGTCAACCTAAATGCATTAACTGTTCCTAGTATCTGACCTGTGACACATCTGCATAAACTTAAAACACTGGTGTTGTCTAGTATGTGGTTTCCAAGTTCTGGCTTCAATATGTTCAGGTTCCCTTGTCTTACTTTAGGTGAATGCTGTCTGTTAGTGTTGCTAACTAAAATGTTCTATAGCTTTTCTTCAGGGAAAACTCAGAAACTGAGTTGCAAATTAGAGCAATGCAAAGTGATCCCCTCGGGCAGGTGTCTGCTCTGATCCCTGCCGAGCCTGGGGAGGGGGGCCTGGGCTCTCCTGCTCTGCTCAGAGCTGAGCATCACAAGGAATCTCTGCCACTGTGCTTGACTAACCCGTGTTTGCAACTTTGCTGTGCTTTTTACAGGAGAAACCAGTAGTGAAAGTTAATAAATTCAGCCACACCAAGTCAGAGTACATCTACAGCATAGGCATGCAAACTTCTTTAGGTGAAGTTTCCAGTTCAATTACTGAAAATGACTACTATGGTTTTACAAAGTAAAACTGCAGTATCTTTAAAAAAGGGACTCTTTTGTAGGTGTTTTTGTCTTGTGTGGGTATCCGTCTCAAACTGAATGTGGGGTTTGTTTCTAAGTACATCCAGAGTATAGCTAATGTGAACAAAACCAACAGCTGTATTCTGCTGCCCTCTGTTTGGACCATATTGTTTAATCAGTGGTGTTACCTTAAACTTTTAAGGGTATCTGATGTAATTACATTATAATGGTTTACAATAAAGTCTGACTTATTACAGATTTGTACACTTGTTTTATACTTGCTCTGTTTCGAAGTGCCTGTGTTTCAAGATTTATGCCGTGCTCTTGTGAGAAGCAGATTCTGCTATTTGTTCTCTAATTATGCACCCTGTTATGTTGATTTTAATTTCAGTATATTTATTTACCTTAATGGCAAGTCCCATTTGATCGGGAAGAGCCATTGTTCTGAAGCTGCAAATTTTGTTTACAAGTTTAAGAATCCTTGCAGGCTCCTCTCAGATCCATTTCCTGAGGAAGGTTTTTTTAAGGCTGGAGCTGAACAGGAGGGACCCAGTCCTGTCTCTGTAACTCCTCCATAACATTTCCCTATTATTTTCATATTTTCTACCTACCACATCCAAGCAGCCTCATACCCACTGCACCTGTACAGGGAATTCAGAGTATAATCTTTACTCTTCCTAAAGTGTCAGTCCCCTGAGAGGTTCGTAGCACTTTCCTGGAGAAGTCAAATCTTCTGTGAGATTTGGAGAGCACAGTGGTAGCTGTGTGTACATTCACTTAATTCTCTATGGTCATTGCCATATTTTAGTTGGAACTATTCCTTCAGCAAAGGAATTTTCCTAACTCCTATTGCAGTGGAAGATTAAAACTTGTATTTTTAATAGCCACTGTTGGATAAATGAGCCATCCTGTTCCATTGTCATTCATGTCCCATTTAACACTCTCAAGGACCTCAACCAGGTGAACAGGATTTTTACTATAAAGTTTAAGTAACTGTAGATTTAGGTAGGGTTCTTTGTGAGCAAAAATAGCCCATAAGCTGTGCAAGAAAATGGTTGTGCCCCTTGTCGAGTGGTGGTTTAGGAAATGGAACTGAAGAGGACAGAACTCTCCAAGCTTTGTGGATGTTCTAGAAACCCCAGGATGTGCTGCCTGCCTCTCTAAGCACTTCACCTGCCCCAAATGGCAAGCAAGGTATGAGTGGTTTGATTTTGTTTGTGTAGATTAAATTGCTATGAAAGCACAACTCTGTTGCTTTTGAGCGAGGAATATGCAGTACCAATTAACTGAAGCAATTTTGAAAGCTGAAGGGAAAATAATAGTTCAGTGTCTTGAATTCTAAATATTTGCTTTAAACACACCGAATGTTATTTTCCTGTCATAATAGATAGTCAGAATAGTGACGCTTGTGGGTCTGTAGAGAAACATCTTAGTAGAGCACTGTTACTTTGTACAATAGAAAAAAAAAATCTGTTTTTTCTAAGGTCAATGCTTTATTCTTCTGTTTTGTTGGCCTACTAAGGGCACTGCTGCTGTGCAGAAATGCTTCTTCTGGTTACTAAGACATGAGTTTAAAATAGAAGATCAACCTAAGTAATAGTAACATCCAAACTGTGTCTTAGCCTACAATAATTCCCCCAATAAAGGAGAAGATCTCAGGCCTGGAAAGAGTTCAGCTTAAAGGCAGTTTGGGCATTGGGAGTCCTGGGGAGTAGTTCATAGCCAACAGATCCCACAGTCATGTTTTCATAGTGAAAACAAATGTTTTGTGACCTTTTGTGCTTCCCTCTACCCTAAAAACACTGGCTAGAGCCTGAGGAAAGGCTAGGGCAGATTTCTACCACTACAACAGCTCATCTCTAGTGGAAGGTGTTTGGAGGTCTGCCATGCCCGCCCTTCTCACATTAACCCACCTGGCTTGGAGTCTTGGTTCTTTGTAGGTGTTGAGTGCAGTCAGAGAAGCTGATTTTTTTTGCATGATGTAAAGTTTTAATATAAAAAACCAAAAGGGAAACAATCTTCCACTCAAACCTCTCCCCGTAATGAAAAATAGAATTCATGCTCAGAGATGGCAGGGTTTTACTTAATTTAAAAATTGTTTAGAGAACAAATATTAAAAGTTCTGAGAAAGGTTTTACTGCTGTCAGCAAGTACAGTGGGGAACACCAAGTTTATCCATGTCTGAGTAAGCTGTTCCAGTACAGATGTGGGTGAAATGGTTAAACTTGCTGATTGTGCTGGAAGTAGAAAGTGATTTTACTCTCTCAGTTGTGTAAGAGCCACCTCTGGAACATGGTCAGAGAGCTGTAAGGGTAAAACCATACCCTACTTTATTAGCTCTCCAAAAGACACAAAACCACTCCCCTGTTAAAGATCCCTGTGCTGAAGTGATTCAAGGCACAGTTATGCTTTGGACTTCAGGTTTGTATCATCTTTAGAGAACACATATCTTGTTACGCTGGGAAAGCAATGCCCACTCTTTTTTCCCCTCCCTCCCTCCCCAAGAGGGTTCAGAGTGAGTTTTGTGTCCATAACAACATTTTGCCTTTTAAAGCTCTAAACAGAGCCCAGCGGACTGCCCGGGAAGCGTTTTCGCAGGGACCCGGCTTCCCCGCTGCCGCAGCTGCCTGCCCCCGTCAGCCCGGCCCGGTGCGTGCTGCCCGCCCGAGTCATCGCCAGGAATAAACCTCGGACAGCAACAGCCTGAATCATCCCGCCGCCGCTTCGGGAACACCACCCGGCCCGTGACTTCACTCCGATGCTCTATAAAAGTCCAGGAAAACAACAGGCGCTCGCAGAGCTCACGGGCTGGATTTAATCAAAGCCGGGAACGACCTGGGAGGGATTTCAGCGAGGGAGCGCCGCAGTTATGTCACAGGTACGGGGACATCTGTGCGCTGCCAGCCCTCGCAGCAGCTCCTGGCAAACCTGCTGCTGGTGTGGATGCTGTGCTTGGAAATGCTTATTAGCGAGTTCCTCTCGTTAACCACTGAATTCAGCTTTTCTGCTCTGCGACTTGTGTGATTAAAATACTTCAACAAGTATATTCTTAGGATTCTTTCATTCTGAAGGAGGAAAGCAGCTGCTCTCTACATGGTTAATTAATTTGGATTTAAAATGTTCTATTTACCTTAAATATTTTTATTTGTGTAGAAAGGGAAAAATCCTTTCCCCTGCTCTGTGTTGAGATGTTTCACAGATGGAGGAATCTGCCTTTTTAACACACTTTCTCAGACTGTGATTCTGAAATTCTGTTTTGCAAAAATGTGGCTGTGCTGAAATGTCACTGTGTAAAGCTTATTGTATTAACATGCAGGAGAAAAGAGTATGACTGAAAATTCTAGCTGTTAGGATAAGGTATTTGAGACTGAAATTTTGTATAAAGTGAACGCTTTTATATTCATTTTTTAACTAATGGTTTGTCTTTAATGCATAGCCCAACAATCAGTGTTTCAAAGTGCTCTTGAAATGAGCTCAGAAATGGTGACGTTTCAGGTAAATGTTATATTTGTGTCACAAGTTCCATGTGCTGGCAGAGCTTTCATCAGCATAAGAGTTTTACAGGATTGGTGGGATGGAGAGTAGGAGCACAGAGAAAGTAGGAGAGCACAGTTCTTCAGCCGTAGAGAGTAACTCAGTTCAGCTGATTTTCTTTGCTCCAAAGAAAATAGGACTTAAAACCCAATTGTATGTCTTGTAAAGTAGCACTTTCTGGCTTGTGACAGTAGTAGATAAAGCACAGGCTGCTTGCCTGTGCCAGGAATGGCTCCTGGCAAACCCTGCTCAGAAATTCTGGCAGCAATAGCAGTGGTGGGGCTGTGACAGTGGCAGCTGCTGGCCAGGGCTCACCGTAACCTCTCTGCTTACCAGCTTTGCTCTTCAGCTGGGGCTGACTAATCCGCAGCAACTGTCCTGCAGGAAAATCCTCTGCAATCAAAGCATGAGATGGTTTATTTTAAAATAACTGGGTGACATTCAAAAGCTCTGCTCAGCCAGGCTGTATCTTTGTGCATGTCAAGAGCCACTTTTCCTCACCCTGTCCCCAGGAATTCCCTTATCCCGATGGGAAGAAGTCTCACAGTAACTGTTACCAAAAATGGGTGAAGGACTTTTGCAGATTTCACATTGCTCTTAATAAAGCAAGGGGCTTTTTCCCTTCCAAGTTGACTGCCTGTGGAGTGTGCCATGGGCATGAGGGCCTGTTCCCATCACATGCCAGTTGCCATTCCAGAAGGACAGATGACTCCATGTCTGTGGAGATGTTTGGTTCACCAGCTGAACAACCATGCAGGAGCTGTTGTGAATTTTGAAGGGTTTGCTGACACCCTTTCCCCTCACTGGCTTTAGCTACTCATGAGAATTTTCCCCAGGGATCTCGTAAATGTTTTGTTTCCCACAACACATGCAAGTGGGATTGGCAGTGAGCTATTCTGAGCGTTCCCAGGAATTTGCAGCAGGCAGAAAATGTGCTGAAGGCTCCAGTGGAGCCAGCCCACCCGTCCAAGAGCCAGCCATGCAGGCGCTGTCTCTGCAAGCTCCCTGGGACTCGCTGCTCCAGCCATCTGTAGCCCTTGAGGGATTTGTTTCCCTCCACAGCTGCTTTTAGCCTCACAGGCAGTGCCTGGAAGTGCCTGAGTGGGCTCCACCACTGCCAGAACCCAAATATCAGAAGCTCTGTGTTATGTAGTGATGGTCAGAGAAGTTTCTTGTTGATCTTTCAGTGTATTTAGAGTTGGAGTGTGGGGGTCTTCTGTTCCTCTTAATCATATCCCTGTGGCCCTGAATCTTGCCACAAGGGCTGCCTGGTGGGACATTGAAAATCTGTCCATGAGATAATAAACTTATGAGGAAATGCTTATGGTGTTGACTGCTGCAGAGTGAGGTTGTGCCTGACTGTGGAGTCCTAATTTAAATGTTGGGGTAGGCTGATGAAGCAATGTTATCCCTATTTCCTTGTAGTGGAATAAACTGTGAACAGATTAGTACTTGGCTATTGCAGTGCACCAGCACTGCATTTGTTTCTGTATTATGTTTCCTACTCCTTCTTTGGGGTCCAAGTCCAGTGCTTCATATGTGCTCAGTAGAGAGCCTTGTTGAGTGCCCAAATACTTTTGTTCCTTAAATTTATTAACTGTGGGTCAAGTGTTTTTTCAAACTTAAGTCCAGATTTGGAATCTCTCTGACCAGCTTCTCAAAGAAGTAGTAAGTAGATTGACAGACAAGCCAAATTTAGTAATAAAGTGATTTTTCCTTTCCAAATATTGAACAGGTTCTTCAATTACCAATCAGTACTTGCAGAATAAGCAGGCAGGGCTGGACAGAGAAAATCTAAGAATTTCTTATTAATTAAGCAGTACATTGCTCTTTCAAAGGCTGTACAATAAAAAGACAATTTCAGAGCAGTAAGAATGGTAGCAGATTTTGGGAAGAGCAGTGACATTGTGATTATGGGAAGATCTGAAGTAGCTGAGTATGTAATTTCAGAACTGAAATCGATGAAATACTGTGTTAGCAACTCTGTATGTTGTAGCCTTTGGGTGGAGGCAGCTTTGTTCCCTGTGCTTTGAACACAAAATACTGATGTGTGGGTCTGTTTCTTAGCCAGCCCCTGTGAAAAAGAAGCGTCCTCCAGTGAAGGAAGAAGACCTCAAAGGAGCCAGAGGAAACCTTGCCAAAAACCAGGAAATTAAATCCAAAACCTACCAAGTGATGAGGCAGTGTGGTAAGTCTTCTTGGTTAGAAGCAATTAAGCAGAGTAAAACATTAACTTAATTGCCCTTTTCAAGTGAAAGGGTCACCTCTGAACATCAGCCTGCTGTTCATCTGATGAACAAGTGAAATATTTATCAAATGTGTATATATGTATTTCAGCAGCACTAGTTTTACTCCCTGAATTTGGGTGGTATTTCACTGATTGTCTCTCCTGGTTTTCTTTTCTAAGAACAAATGGGCTCCGCAGCACCTTCCGTATTCAGCCGGGCTCGGACAGGGGGTGAAACAGTCTTTGAGAAACCGAAGGATGAGCCAGCCAAGAGCGTCTTTGGCTGACAGTGGGGCTGGACATGACTCACCAAAATGATTGTTGTAACATTTTTCAAAATGTCTGTTCCTTGCACTAAAGTCACTGTAGCTAATTTCCACCGTAAGTCCTTAAGTAGGGAATATACTCATGTCAAAGAATAAAATTTCCATGTTCATTTTTATTACATGCTTTCTTTCTATGTATTGGACAGTGTTTGCTATAATTGTTTAATAAAAAAAGGTTGTTGGACTCAGCTTGGCACACTGTGGTGACTCATTTCACTTTGGGCTCGGATTAATTCTGTTGGCACTTTGGCACTACAGGCGATGATTTTGTCTGTCAAATGCAAGGAAAAAACACTCTGATGACACTGTCAGTGTAATTTCTTCACACCATGCCCTCACCAAGAGGGAGCCGAGGAGGAGCTGATCGAAGGGACAGCACAGAAACCTGGAGATTTCACCCAGATCTGTGCTGCCTACAGCAGCCCCTTGGCGAGGGCCCTCAGGGTGCCGGCATGGCACAGGGTGGTGGCTCTTCCCTCACGGCTGTCCACTTGCAGTTCCCGCTCATGGCTCCCCATCATGGCTCTCCCCTTGCAGTTCCTGCTTATGGCTCTCCCCTCATGGCTGTCCCCTTGCAGTTCCTGCTTATGGCTCTCCCCTCATGGCTGTCCCCTTGCAGTTNGGCTCTCCCCTCATGGCTGTCCCCTTGCAGTTCCTGCTTATGGCTCTCCCCTCATGGCTGTCCCCTTGCAGTTCCTGCTTATGGCTCTCCCCTCACAGCTTCCCCTCATGGTTTCCCGCTCATGGCTTTCCCCTCACAGCTCTCCCCCACATCTCTCCCTTCACACCCTTTCAGGGCAGAGGCCCTGCTCTCCAGGTGCCCCAGCACCGAGGGAGGGATTTCAGCTCATTCCCCAGTGGACTTTTCAGATTTTTCCTCCTGTCCCACTGGATCAAATGGGAAGTGGGGTGCCAGACCCAGCTGCCATGTCCTGCCTTACCATGGAGGTGAGAACCCAACGAGCGTCTCTGTACAACACCAGCACACTCTGAGGGGAAGCTGGTTTTTTTTTTCAGTGCAATTTGCTTCTTAATTTGCTGCCTTAAACATCAAACCTGTTTTCTCCCAAACCCCAGAATGTTTCCCCTCAGCTGGATATAAACAGAGAGGAGCCTCTGTGGGCACCTGCCATGCTTCCCACTCACCCTGCGGGACGTCTGGGGATGGTAAGGCAGATGCCACCTTTGTTAAAGAAGTTACTTCTATTTTACACAGACTAGATACTATTAAGAGGTAAAAGTGATGCCAAAGTTCTCTGTGCACCATGAAATGTATCACATTTGAATTTTGTGTCCCAAACACGTGACAGATAAAATGTGACAATGCCCACACAGATCACAGAGAGGCTGTGGAGAGCTCACTTGAGGCAGCAGCAAACCCTTTGGCTTTAAGGGGAAAGCTTCTTTAATGATATTGCTGGCCCATTGCCTTGCCCTGCTTTTTTCACTTAAAAAGATTATTATTTGCAGGCCAGATCCCACCTCCTCGCTTTAGCAGGCACAATTTCTCCACGGAGCACAGGTTCCTCACAGGTACATTGTCAAAGTCTTTTCCCAAGACATATACTTCCAGAGCATGAAAAAAGTCATGGTGGAAAAAAATCCTGCCCTGATAATACTGGAACAGCCTCTGCATTGGGTTTAACAAACCCTCATTAATTACCTGTGTTGGGAAGCTGGAAGGAGATTGTTCAATAGTTATAGAAATGATGGTGAGGGACAAATGGGACAAAATGTTGTTGCTACAAGGGCCTGACCTGCAGGTTTGCAGGTGGGGTAGCAGGACAGGGGGATGCTGCATTTCAGACCCTGTTTTGGCTGTGGTGGTGCTGGTTTAACAAAGCACAGAAACCTCTGTGTCCCACAGATTCTACAGGGAAGCCAAGCAAGGTATCTGCCAGAAAAGTGGGATTTGGCAAACGCCTCTATTTCCAGGATGTTGTCATGTTCATTTATTTGTGCTGCTTCCAAGTGTCACAATAAGGACTGGTCATCTTTTTTGTCTTCTTGTCTTTTAATGTGGACCTCATCTAAAAAATGTGAGGGGCAGAGCTGACACTGCAGCCTAAATCTGTGGAGCAAAAGCAGCTCTTTAACATCCATGTGATTTTACACATGGGCATTAGAAAACTGATGACAGATCCACTTAATTAAAGCTTTGGCTCTTGCAGCTCTTAGGTCACTAAGTGTCTAATCCTGTGTATTTTAAGGGATTAAAGCATTTCATGAGTTGTACAAGTTAATCAAATGCATTGCAGTTTAATTTTTTGTCTTTTAAAATATATATATTTACATATCCTGCTATAAAGAATATGGTATTTGCAAGTAGCATAAACAGTCTGCCTGAGAGGAATAAAATTTATTTTTTAAAGAGTTACTTAAAGCATAGGGCTTGTAAGACCAGGCTGTGCTTAGCACATTCTTTGTTGTGAACTTGTAGTCTGGTAAGTAATAAATTATTGAGCTCTGCTTTAGTGTCTCCTTGCAACTCCAAGGCCACTAGAAACTTGCTCTCCACATGGACACTTTGTAAAACAGGCATGAAGAAAACACGGATGCTTATATTTCCACAGGATCTTTGTGTTAATTTATGAATTATTTTAATGAGTGGCATTACCTACCAAAGATCATGGCCAGCTGGGCAGGGAGGCACAAAGGTTGAGAAAGCCATCAGCTGTAATATCTTGTGTGAATGTTGCCTGTCCTGGCAATCTCCAAATCTCTGAAGTGGTTGTGATAATGTTAAGGATGTGCCCTTTCAAATTATTACTGTGGAATATGGTAGAGATTCCTGCAGCTTGTTGCACAGACCAAGTCATCTGCCCAAGGGATTTCATGTGACACAGTTAAATCTAATTTTTTTTTTAAAATATGTAGAAATTTCTTAAATTTATGTGTTATGAAACACTAAAATTCTACTGTTTAAGAGCAAAGATCTGTTGGAAAAATAAGCATTAACGAAGTCCAAGTTTTACCTATGTTTAATGGGTAAATATTACATTTCTGTGTCTCTTCAAAGTCTACATGATATCCCCAAGTACTTGTTATTCATTAACTGATTAAGATAAATAGAGATTTCATTTGAAAATTTGCTTTTTCCAAAATGGAGCAGAGAGCACTTCTTGCATTGATGGTCTTTTCCTCACTCATAGTACTAGCAGAAACTAATGATCAGAAGGTATTTGCTCTATTTTTATTATCAATATCTCATTTGCTGATGTGGTGGTATCGTGGTCACTGGCCAGGTATTGCAGGTAATTCCTATGTAACCACTCCCAGGGAGACTTGGGTGGACTGTGTTGAGATTTTAGAGCTTTGGCTCCCTTTAAGGTCATTTTGGTTGCTTGTTTGGGCTGTTACTGTACAAATGTAACAGGAGACACTTGTAGATGTGTTTGATGATTCTCTTTCTTCAGAATGTAGGATATAAAATTTGAGAGATCAGTAACTCTGCTTTGGCTATGGAATGAGGTTTGGATCTTGACACAGGACCAGACAAGGTCTATGCAGTACCAGGAGGTTTCTGATGAGTGTTTAATAATAAATACGGAATGGAAAAGAGTGAAGTAGAAAGTTATTTACACTGCCTGGAGGAGCAAACTGTTTTGCACCATCACAGTGGTGACTGGTGGCATTGTAAATACATCAAAATTAGGAAGAGGATGCTTTAAGTCAGATTTCTCTGTCCATTATGCCTATTAAAAAAAGGGTGAAGTGGAACTGAAATGCGGGCAGGTGTAGGGGGGCAGGGCCAGGCTTTGTGGCTGCTTCAGGGGCAGCCAAGAGCACTGCAGGAAGCCATGGATGGGGGGGTATGGGCCAACAGTGTCTTTGCCTTTGGGCACATGCCTGGGGCTGGTCCTCTGCTTCTCTCACCAGGGGTACAGCAAAGCTCCTCCCCATGCTGCATCCCACTGAGCCCTGGTCTGTGCTGGCCACAGCCTAAAATGCTGCTGGGCTGGGCGAGTGCAGGAGATGCAGATCCTCCTCCCTGCAGCATCCCTTGGGCACGTGGCAGCAGAGGAGATTCTGCACTGGGCAAGTTTTGCACAGGACAAACTCCTCCTGTGTTAGAAGGATCCTCAGTGGGCAGCAATGGCCACCACATGCCTGCACTTCCCCAGTGAGCCACAGCTTGGGGCTTGGTGCTCCTTTTGGCAAAACCACGCTCTGAATGTGCCATGGGCAGGTGTGAGTAGGGTAGGGCAGCCAAGTTTTGAATTTCAGCCAGTATCCTAATGGAGAAGAAGGGATGCTTTTAATTGGCAAGCAAAGTACAGGAGATTAATTATCAAACTAGCTAAAGACAATTAGCCATTCAAAAGACTTGGAGGATGGAAAAATAAAAATAGAAGTGCAATGATATGCTTGGTTGCTGAGCTTTTTTATTTTAATCAGCTATTGGACTCTTGAGAGGCTGGTAATGTCCAGATCAGCCTTTTTTAGTGTCACTGCTGGAACATGGGTAAGACCTTCAGAGAGACATTCCAAATGCAAAAGGAGGTGTCCATGTAGGCAGGTGCTCCAGTCAGCTCTCAATTCAGCCACCCTCTGGGGTGCTCCAGGCAGCTCTAGAATGGTGCCCTCCTCCTTTGGGCATCAGGGGCCCTGGAAGAACCAGACCAGGAGAAACGTGAGTGCTCAAAGGATATCTCTGCTCCTGTAAACAGTGAGGGGTAACCAGTGCTTGGGAGGCCCATGTGAGGTTTCAAGCCTGCTAAACATCCTGTGGGACACAAGATACCAAGCTGGAAAACAGGAAGCAAAGCCAACAGCTGGGAGAGCAAATAAACAGTCACACAAAAACCAGGGTCCTTCCCTGGGTCAGGCTTAAAGAGGCTTCTGATCTTCCTGAGGAAAATCTTGGGCAATGCACTGGGGTGATGCAGCAGCAGCTTCACTGTACCCCCAAGGAGAGAAAAAGGTTCAACAGAAGCTTCTGTGGAGCAGCAAAATGCAGCTGCAGCTGCAGGTTTTGCATGGGACAGTGGCTGTGGCTGCAGAGAAGGGAATAAGTAGACTGGTCCAGAACAATCCCCTCCCCAGTTCCAGCCAGGCTTTCTAACAGTTGATTTCTTCATCAGACTTTTCCAACAGCATCATCCAGGTAAGGATGGTCTGAGAGCAAAACCTGCGTCAGCCTGTCTCAGTTTGTTTGTTTTTTTCCCAGCATGCTGTTGAAATATACAGCCTCCACGTGGACTGCAAGGTCACATCACGATTTGCTCACACTGTCATCACTAGCAGAATTGTCAACCGAGCCAATGAGTCCCGAGAGGCCACCTTTGAAGTGGAGTTACCCAAGACAGCCTTCATCACCAACTTCTCCATGTAGGACCAGTCCTCACCTGTAGTGTAAAGGAGGCAGCTCGGGGGGGTTCACCTTTCTGCTCAAAGAAAGAGCACAAAGCTCTGCAAAAATGTTCTCTGGGGCTAAGTAGTAAGCAGCCAAATAGAAAAGAGGTGCCCAGGGCCAGGCTACCTGCTGCACAGGGTGGGTGATGTGCTCAGTGGTGGTGCTTCTCCTGCTCCAGCCTCCTCAAGACTCTGTAAGGACAAGGGTTGTGTCTGTAAGGACAAGGGTTGCATTGTGCTGGTGGCTCCTGGCATTCTCCTGGGTGGGAAGGGATTTGGAGCCAGTCTCCCTTGCTCATGCCCAGAGAGCCACAAAAAAACTTCCTGTTGATATTCTTTTCCCAGTGTATTCCTTCTAATATAAATTAATTTTCATGGAAACCAAACAGGTCCATTGATGGTGAAGTATACCCAGGGATAATAAAGGAGAAAGCTGCTGCTCAAAATGAGTATGACTCGGCTGTCTCGCAGGGACAGAGTGCTGGCCTCGTCAAGTATGTTGCTATTCTGAGTAAAACTGCTCCAACACCCCTCTGTGGCTTCTTGTTTGGCTGGGGGCAGATTAAATCCTGGTGATAGCCACATCCCAGTGGGGTCAAATCAGTGAAAATCAATCTTGGGTTCTTGGTGGGAGGGACAGTGTACCTTTGTGTGTGTGTATATACATACATACGTATATATATATATATATATATATATATATAATTTTTTAAGCATTTATATAAATTCACATATATATGATGTATGGGTGGTCTTGCAATGGGCTCCAGTAGGAAGCATCCCTGTTTACCAGTGCCTTGGGACTTGCTGTCATAGAATCACTGAATGTTCTTGAAAGGGTTCTACAAGGATCATCAAATCCAATTCTTAAGTGAATGGTCCATAGAGGGATTGAACAGGCAACCATGCTCTGACCAACTGAGCTAATCTCAGGGTCAAAGATCCTTAAAGGACCTCAAAGATCATTTAGTTCCAAGCCCCCTGCCATGGGCAGGAACACCTTTGAAGCTGCTCAGAGCTCCATCCAGCCTTGGTCACTGTCATTCAAGAGCACCTTGCCACACTGGGATGATGCTCAGTGCTGAGTCTGCCTCCCTGCAAGCATAGAGGACCATGGACTTGAACAGATATTACAGTTTCAGGGTATATTTAATCTGTGTTTCACAGGTATCCACTCTGAGGCATGCAGGGGTTTCTGCTCCATTTCTCAGCTTGCACCCAGGACACATTAGTGTACTGTACAATATGTGATGTACATAGTAGCACCTGCAATGTAAAAAATCCTCTCTATGATGAAACATATTTACTGCTACTCTATTGATCCCATGTGATACCTTGGAGGGGCCACAATAAAAGTGTGCAAATTATTTTGCACACTTCACAAACTCTAGTCACCACAAGGAGGTAAATCACTTTTCTTGCCCCCAGAATTACAGACAGAAAGCTGGAGCAGTTCCACGTGTCCGTCAGCATCGCAGCTGCTAGCAAAGTCACTTTTCAGCTGAGCTACGAGGAGCTGCTGAAGCGGCAGCTGGGGAAGTACGAGCTGCTCATCAGGGTCCGGCCCCAGCAGCTCGTCAAGCACTTCCAGGTGAGCTGTCCTGGGGAGGGCTGGGCAGGGAGCAGTGCCCTGGGTTTCAGCACAGCCACGTTCCCTCTGATGTTCACATCTTCTCCTCTACCAGATCGATGTGCACATCTTCGAGCCCCAGGGCATTCACTTCTTGGAGACAGACAGCACATTCATGACAAACGAGTTAACTGAGGCACTCACTAAAGTGCAGAACGAAACCAAGGTAAAGCAGCAGCTGCCAGCGGTTACTGCCACTGGAGCTCTGAGTTATATTGCTTTAGATATTCCCTTCTGATTGCTTTGCAGGCTCATATTTTATTTAAGCCAACTCTAGATCAACAGAAGAAGAATTCTGAACGTGATGAAACGCTCCTCAATGGTGATTTTGTTGTGCGTTATGATGTTAAGAGAGAAGCCACTGCAGGTGATATACAGGTAAAAAGAAATAGAAATGAAAATGCTTTTAGATCACCAATAAGTATGAATGTGAAGTGCAATGAGCAAAACAGCAGCATTTCCTTTGAAACACCAACAATGACACAAAAAGCTCTTCCCATTAATCCAGGGTCAGCAGGAACTGAGGGTGATACTGGATAATCCCCAGAGACACCAGCTGTATTACAAAAAAATCACTCAGGAAAAAAAAAAAAAATTTTAAAATTTCATTCAAATACCCAATCTATATTGGTATTTTATAGAAGCCTCTTTACACTCTTTTAAAATTATTATTATTTTGGCTCCTCTAGCATGTATCTGTGGCTTATTGTAAACACATTTTAGAGGAATGTGATTTATATAACTTAAAACGATGCTTGGTCTCTGTGTTTTTTGTGATAACTGACACATAACTAAATACAGTAGGAACTTAGAAAATATTTATGAACCAATGCATATTCTAGGGAATAAAATAGAGTATTTTCCATATCATTTCACTAATGAAGTATATACGGGTGTGCTAAAAGGTGGCAGCCACAGTCATTCAGCAGAGATGTACTCATAGGTAACAATAAAGAGGTAATGTGATACACAGTGATAATATGCATATACCATACATATGGCACTGAGGTGTCTAATATATATGTATGTATGCATGCTGCTCTCTGGCAATTTTCTCTCTACAGACAGTCTTGCTTCCAGCTAGGAAATACATTTTACTTTCTTTAATTTAAGTTCTTTTATTTATTTGGGCTTATCAAGAGAGCAGAATGCTGAGCATGCTCCCCACTTCTTGCTATGCCAGAATGTTAAGATTTATTCTTTATTTATTTAGATGTACTTTTATAGGTGATTTTGCATTCTGTATTTCAGATTGTCAATGGGTATTTTGTCCATTACTTTGCACCCCAAGAAATGCCAGTGTTTCCCAAAAATGTCATCTTTGTTATAGACCGAAGTGGCTCCATGACAGGCAGAAAAATCGAACAGGTAACTTCCCCCAAAGCATGACCTGTGTTAGCAGCAGGCACACACACCCCAGCCTTCTGAGGAAGCAACTGGGAATTTTTCATTGGAAGCACACACTGGTTTTGTACACAGCAAAAGGTAAAGTCTTACAGAAATGCTTGAAAATACATATGCATAGATTGAAGATATTAAGGAGTAACTCTTTTCTGACACAATTATTTTCATGGGTATTAAACATTGAGGCAGAGAGAACTTTCTGTATTTTTGCAGAACTTTTTGTGTTTATATTTTTCTTTTATGAAGCTTAGAGAGTTAATTCATCTGTTTTCCGTTTTATGTTTGATGACTGTGTAGCTCTGCTTGAGAACAGACAAGCCCCCTACAGCCCTCATAGGTTGGCTTTTGTGTCTGTATGTTAAGTGAATTGTCTATTTCTGATTATCTCAACCTAAAACATACCATTAGGGTTTAATAAAGGCATAGGGCTGCTTCTGGAACAGAGCTGTAGCCCTTATTAGACTGTAATTTCGACCCCAGTTCAGGCAAAAAAGTGGAAATAATCAAAAGCACTGTTTTCTCCTTGGAACAGACAAGGGATGCTCTGCTGAAGATTTTGCAGGACCTCCGCCAAGAAGACCATTTCAGCTTTATCACCTTCAACAACAAAGTGGTGGAGTGGAAGAGCTCTTTGCTGCCAGCCACTGAGGAGAACGTGGCCAGTGCTGCAGCACTGGTGCAGACCCTCACTGCCAGGGGAGGTACACGTGCTTGTAGCCACAAATATGTACCCAGTAGAATTAATTGCTTAGAAAATAATTATTGTTATTAGTTATATAGTGCCCCAGAGCTACCATCAGTGCTTACAAAGCAGGTCAGTTTTTAAGACTTGTGAGTGATGAGTGGGAAAGAAAGCTGTGAGTGGTCAGACTGGTGACTTCATTATGAGATAGATATATATTATAGAAGAGATGCTTACAGCACATTTGTGAACCAAAGCCACCAAGCTTTGTTTACAATTTTTATCACAGATAAAAGATTAGATTAGAAGATTCCTTGATAGCACATTTTTTTATACAGAAAAATGGTAATTCACTCAACATTTGACAGCAATTTGCTGATTTTTTTTCTTTTTATATTGAGTTTCCCCTTGCAAAAAAAAACCCAAAAAAAACCAAAAAAAGCACATCCAAAGTTATACTCCTTTGTAAGCCATGTCACATAAATAAAACAGGCAAAACAGACATGTGGCATTTCAGTTGCTGCCTCAGTCAGTGTGCTTGGTGATATTATTTTGTTTTAAGCACCTCTCAAGGGCTCTGTCTCCCTTTAATGTTACACTGTCAGTATGAACAGAAGTTTCCTTACCCCAGGTGCTAACACCAATACACCCAATCATGCTCAGCTCTTTTTCTCTGACTTCTTATAGAAGGCAGGGAAACTTTTCTTAAATATAGGTTAACAGATGACAGTGTGTTTACTTAAGCACTTTTTAATGGCTCTAGACATGTTTGTATTTCCCATGACATATGTGTGGAAAATCCTCCCAGGAGAATACTCCGGCGCTGCCGTTGCAATATAACACCCGGTAATTAAGTCCAGCAGGCTAAGTCCCTAAATCCTCCTCTCTAGGAAGGATTACTTCCTGCAGAAAACTTTCAAACAAGTGTGCAGGGTCTCTGCAGATGAGTCTCCTGTTTAGGTGAGTGGTGCCTGCTGTCTCTTTGCAGGCACAGACATCAGTGGTGCCCTGCTGGCTGCCGTGGGCGTGCTGGACAAAGCCCAGGGGCTGCCAGAGCACAGCGTCTCCATGATTATTTTGCTGACAGATGGCCAACCCACTTCTGGTGAGTGAATGCTGCGCATGGTCCTCCCTCCCCTGGGGTTTTTTATCTTTTACACTTGCATCCCAATATTGATAGACCTAGCCTGTGTTTTAGAAGAGCTTTGGAATACGCAGGCTGAGGTATTGCTGGATATGAGAGGGCTCTGTTGAGGGCTGTAGGGAGTGATGGCAGAGCCTGCCTGCCTGTGGCTGCACATCCTCTAGCTGGGAATTGTTTTGCTGCATACCATTGGCTTCCCAGTTTATAAATTCAAGGGAATTGGAGATAGTCCAGGCACAGCTGAAACAGAAAAGTAAAATACCTAAAGACAAAATGTGGACATTTTGCAGATACTGTGTACAGTCCTATTTGAGAGATGCTGCTTGTACTTCTTCGCCCTCTGTGCCTCAAACTTAAGATATTTTCAAGGTGCTTCTTGTTCTGCATTCTTTGTCATGTCAGTGCAATGGCACAAATTGAACCCCTTGTCTTCTACAGGGTTTTTTCTTAGTTTTATGTAGCACCAGCATCACTCCAAGGTCAGCAATAGTACTTTATCTGTAAGCCCTTAATAAGATCATTCTGCCTTTTAGATTGTGCGAGCCATTCTGCTTTGGGATTTCTTGATTTTATTTTTTTAATAAAATTCAGCTCACAGTGCTGCCTCCCCAGCACAGCCACAGTGAGTATCCAGGGCTCCCCACATCCAGCAGCTAGAAATCAAGCCAAGGTGGCATGTCAGGCATTATTGCCTACACTGCCTTCCTTAGCAAAGCAGCTAAAAAGGAAAAAAATCTGAGCTGCTGCCATGGTATTGCTACTGGCAGTGACAGTTTCTGCCTGGAAATGCTTATAAAAAGCTCTCCATACATGGCCATCAGCAGCTCTTCAAATGGGGTAAGGTGATAGTGTGAGAGTCTTTTCCTCTGTCACACAAAGGGGCTGGGAGAGAAGCATGGCTGAGTTCATTGCCAATTTGTTGGAATTGCACCATTAACCAATCCATTCTTCTCTGAATTGACACACATAATTTTTATGGATGGTACTTGTCTTTTGAATGCTTTATGAAGTGTATCCATCCCTTGTGTTGTTAACTTGTAGTGTGTATCCCTTCTGTACTAAAAACCTCCTCTGGCCTTGTAATCCTATAAAATATTTTGCACTTAGCCATGACAACATCAGTAGAACCTAACAAAAGTCATTAAGGGGGAGAATCATGTTCTGGCACTCTATATGCAGAGTCGTGCTTTCATTTCCAATTCAATTACCAGCATTCTATCCCTTATCTTTTTAGTATTTTATTCTGAATTATTTTTAAAAACTTCAGGCAGAATTTTCCATTAACCTGCTGCAGTCTATTTGCACTTGAAAAGACTCAAACCCACAACGGTGCTTTTGTTTCATTTACAGGTGAGAAAAATGTGGAAGTAATTCAAGACAAGGTTCAGAAGGCAATCAGTGGGAAATACGCTCTTTTCTGCCTTGGCTTTGGGTTTGATGTCAGTTATAAATTCCTGGAGAAAATGGCCCTGAGCAATGGGGGAATAGCACGGCGTATCTATGAAAATGCTGATGCAGCCCTGCAGCTCCAGGTCAGGAGTAAGCAATGTGCCAGGAAAGCCATCTATCAGCTACAGCTTATATCTAGTTCTAGCAGGAAAATCGCAGATTTTCTGAGATGAAATGTTGGGGTTGAGCTTACCTGTTACTTTAGCAGAGGGAGGAAGACAGTTTTGGGGTATCTGAGGGTTTGTACCCTCCATGTTATCCTGACTCGAAGTCCTCAAATCAATTGCATTCAGACAAATTGGGAAACTCACACATTTCTGTACTGTAAGAAGATAAATTGTGCAGGGGAAGTGGTCAATTTCTGAGTTTGCAGTAGTCTTGCACTACTAAAGAAAAAGCTTTTTAAGAGGACTTTAGACTTTCAACATATTTCTTTGACAATTTTGCTGTCATTTTTGTGTGTTCTCTGTCTCACTGCCTTTCTTTAGGGCTTTTATCAAGAAGTGGCTACCCCAATATTAATGCAAATTGAAATGCAGTATCCAGAAAATTCCGTTGAAGGATTAACCAAGAACAATTTCAAGCTGTTTTTTGAAGGATCTGAAATTGTAGTGTCTGGAAAAATTAGTAATGAGCTGGAGCTTTTGCCAGTGGAAATTAAAGCTCAGTCAGTAAGTGTTTAGTTTACTAATTGTGAAAAACATCTCTTCCTTCTGTCCTTTGTGGCACAATAGGAGGCTTCAATAAGTGTTTTGTATTTAGTATGTGTTTGTTACATTTGGGCTCTCAGCTCTTTTCCCATTGTTTGATCTCCCAGATAATTTGTTAAAATTACCCTCTCTTGAATTTGCTACAAAAGAAAAACCTTGAAGAATATTCACAATAAGAAAACAGAAATTTTAATTCAGTTTTGTTAATTCTTTAACAAAATCCAAATATTTAGCATTTTAAGCACTTTTAGGTTTATATTGTTACAATGAAGTAGGAAATCTCAATTATTCATCTCAAAAATGCTGAAATAGAATTTAATTACCTCCCTTTTTCATCATTGTTTCAAGTCCAGAAATACAAATCTAAAATACATACTTTTTAGATACTTTGGGGTCGCATTTTCCAATGGGAAAGAACAATATTGAAGGACAACTGGTACTGAAAGATATTAAGTCTCATAATGTGACTATAAATGAAGTTTATAGAGCTGAAGTTTATGGAGCTGTTCTTTTGATGGTCAGTTTTCTCCCACTTCAGCACACGAGTAACTTGACTCTTAAGGAAGAAGCAAATGTCAAAGAGAAGGAGCAAGTATTCCAAAATCAAAAGTACATCTTTGGGAATTTCATAGAGAGACTGTGGGCTTACTTGAACATTCAGCAGCTTCTGGAAGAAGTGTAAGTGATTTTAATGGTTCACATAACGAACTTCTAACTTCTCAAAACACAAATTCCTTATTCGCAAATTATATGATTAGAAAACACAAAGAAACAGAAAAATTTTTCCAGACAGTATCAAAACGTAAGATACTGGGAGAATACTACATTACTGTATGATGAACATGAAGTGACTTTCAGTTTATGGTAGCACTACAACATTCAATTTCATATGTATATGAACACGTAATGTAATACATTCTACATGAAATTACTATGAAACAGATGTCAGTTGTATGGATTGTGTTGAGCTGTTCTTGCACACCCAGAAATATTGTCTGTAGATAAGGAAATGGCAATAGCTAGGGACTAGAACAATATGGATGTCCATAAGATACTTCAAAGGCCATGTATCTATTTCTTTTGTGTATTTAAACTATATATAAACCCCAGTGTTGCAAAGAATGAAGCATTTCCATCATTTCAGGCACATGAACAGCTGAGTTATCCCCATAAGACTACTGACCCTTCAATAATAAATATCTGTGGAGGAACAGCTAATACGTAATCTGAAGATGATTGTTCATAGTCTCTATACATTTTTGCTTCATCATTAACACAGACTTCAGTATTTCAGCCCAAGAAGAGGACCAGAAGGCCCTGGAGGCCCAAGCCTTGGATCTGTCCCTGCGGTACAGCTTTGTCACACCCCTCACTTCCATGGTGGTCACCAAACCCCAGCAGCAGGAGGAGCTGGCAAGCAAACCCACCGAGGCTGGTAAAAACAGCCCCTCTGAAACACTCTGCTGTTCTTCATTCATTGCTGTTGACTTCCACTTAGCTTCATTTGATAGTGATATAACGAGGCAAATTGGAGGCAGGAGTTCAGGGATTGGCTTCCTTTCAAAATAAAACATGAAGGATTTTTTTGAAAGGTGAAGTGATGAAACAGGCACTACAATTGAAATGGAAAACAGTTTGTTTAAATATTAACTAAAGGTAGTCTAAGAGCTGTTACATAGAGTTTTGCATGGGCTCTATATACCCATCCCTTAGCACAAAAAATCTCGTCACCTGAAGCCCTTGTCTCAGTTTGCTGGTTCACATGGGTAAAGTAATTCAATGTTGACTGTATGACACTCATCTGTCCCTCTTCCTCTTTACAGATAATGAGAAGCCCAGCAGTCTTCCAGCAGGAGGTAAATGTTTTCTTCTTTTCAGTAGCATATTTTCATAGTCTCTAATTTAAAAAAAAAACCAAAGCAAAGCAAACAAAAGAATTCATGGTGGTTGTTCTATAGAGGGAAGTACCTGAAATTTGAAAAAATGTGTGAAGTTGTAAGCAATGCCTGCCACAGTCTGTGCTGATTTTAGGTGGATAACAAGGTCAAAGGGAGAAAATCTTCCATTCAGAAAGTCTCAAATGTCTAAATTATTTATGCTCTTGAGGAAAAGTAGTTCTTCAAGCCAGTGGTGTTAATGATGCTTTCTGCTTCTTCCTATCACGTGTGAAGCATCTTTCAAAAGATTCCACTCAAGAATGCCTTCTGAGGATGATTCAGGTATTTTTTTCCTCTCTGGAAACTGTATTTATTTGAATAATAATTTATAGGTGAAGAACCTTGGTTTTGCTCTAGTTCTTTCACAGAAATGTATTGAGAGGATCACAATGCTGCCCTGTTTCTGGAGGCTGTTTCTTTCTAAGTGCTGCTGGGGAGTTCAATAGCAGAACCACTCCTGTAAAGGATGTAATGCAATCATGAGTAAAACACAGGTAATTTTTTTTTCTCCAGGTGCTCTTAGAGGGAAAAGTGGGTCACCTGCTGGTAAGTACTCCTCCTCTGTTTCTCTTCAGAATAATTCCATAAAGTTAATTTCATATGTAGGGTAGTATCAACTTTATTTTATATAAATGCATTTGGATTGGAGACACCCATTTAATATACAATTTAGTTTTTATCATATGCATTTTAGCCCACAGATATTTTATAATTAACTATAAACATTTGAAAACAATCTTGGTCCCTTTTCAGAAATCAAAAAAATATATACCTCCTGAAAATAAATGTGAAAGATATGAATAAGGATGTATTAGTAAGCTGAAAGAAATGGATGTAAAAACAAAATAATTCACCAGTCCTGGGGTATCCAGGAAAGTCAGAGGACAACAAGCAGGACAGATTCCCAGTTTCAAAGGGTAGGAAAGGAGATGCAAGGTATAAACCCAAAGCAACAAAACATCGGGAAAACCCTTTTATTTCAGGTCAGTGGCGCTCTGAGCTCCAAACTGGCAGCAACAGGAAGATGTTTTCAACAGGTAACTGCTCACAGTGGGGTCAGAGGGGCTGGGCTGGGTGTGCTGCATTCAACACTGCCCAGTGACCCTTGAAAACACAGCTCTAAACCCTGCCAGCTCCAGCTGAGCATAGGCCCATGGCATGGTCCATCCTGAGAGAAATAGGCTCTGCGTGTTGTGCCCCTTTGGGACTTCTCGTCTTAGGCAAAGCTCTCCACAGACATCAGTGAAGAGCTCTGTAAAAAAGGTTTCTGCCCAGCATTTGTCCTGGTTCATCAGCTGACTTAGGGAAAAATGTTTCATTAAACTCTTCTTACTAATTTTAGCTCTTTCAGTTTCCAGGTTCAGAGGTGCTGTAAGAGCACAAACTATTGGTAAGTGACTCACGTCCTAGTCCCATTTCAATTATTAATGTAACTGTAATGTAGACTTCTTCATGCAACAATGCTTTTTCTGACTTCATCAACTCTGAAAATCTTTTACCTCTTCTTGCAGACCTTGGCTAGTTCTTTCCATTTAAGTAGAAAATATCCCTGTGTTCCATGAGAAGACCTCTCTGGCTCAAGTATATAAGAAACACAGTACAACAAATCTTCAGCCTAAGCTTTTTAAGGGCTTCTTGTCCTTAGTAAACTCTATATTTAAAATCTGTTGGTTTCATTCATATCAAGGTGCTGTGTCTGGTTGTGCTTTTCAACAGTTATTGCTTTGTTTTTAACCATTCTATCCAATAAAAGCTATAACTGCTGTTTTAGGAATGAATCTATAAATTATTTTTGCTGTACCTATCCAGCACACAGGCTAGTTTTTTTTTGTTGCTGATTTTTTCTTCTTTCCTTTCAGCCAATGAACATCCACAACTTCTCTTGCAATTACCCAGACAAAATGAAAGAATCTGTTTAAATATTGATAAAAGAGCACAAGCCTCTGTCCACCTGCTGTCAGATCCAGAGCAAGGTCAGTAAGCCATGTTACCCCAAACTGGGTCTGTGAGTGCAGTTGGTGTTTTTGGGAATAACCCCCTCTCATGAAGAGCCATCTCACACCTGCTGCCTTGCACTGACCAGAGAGGCTGTGGTAAATTCGGCCTTTCTGTTAGGCAATATTGATGGTGCAGCAGCTGGGGGCACTTCTCACAGGTCTGGCTGAAGATCAACTTCTCCTCCTGGTGTCACATCCTCCTTGTTCCTTAGGGTGTTCTCCTACCCAGCCCTTGGGGCTTTGGAGGATGCAGAGACCCTAAGCCTCACAGTCCCTGTGTGCCAGCAGAAAGCTGCATGCTGTGGATGTAGAGCAGATTTTTTGTGGTCCTGTCATTGAGGAGCCATGTCCCAGGCAGCAGGGCCTGCTCCGATTATGGAACAGAGACGCCTCTGTGCAGGAGGTAGAAGCATGGGGTTAAACAGGCTCTAGTGACCCCACTACAATCTTGGGGCATGTGGAGCTGCAATCCAGAAATGCCCCACAAAACAAGATTTGAGACCCTGGTTTCAGTAACAAAACTGGAGTGGGTTTATTAAGATCATTTGTACCTTAAGAGAAGAATCACCTGACAAATTTGTATTAAAGGACTCACAGTGATGGGGAAACTTGGAGATGGAATAAATCACTTTGTGCAGTTTGATATTAACTATGTGAATCCTCCCGTGGAAATCCATGTCTACACTCACGCGATCCTTGTAAGCCACAACAACAAGAACAGTTGGCTGTCATGGACAAAGTCAACCTCCTCCACCATCCAGGGGTAAGAAACATCTCCCTGTCTTTTCCTAAACTTCAAAATATGTCAGATCTTTGTTCATTCAGGCCTCTCCTTACCTGAAGTAAGTGCTTCCAGATATTCTTCTCCAGCAAGTGTATCAGTGTGAGTAACAGCAGGGTATCTTTATAGAAAATAAGTTTTATTTTAATTCTCCATGCCTGTGTAAAGAGAACCAGAACAACTGCACCATCAGCCTGCTGTTCATGTATTTATGTTCCAAAGGAAAGGAGCCATGCAGAGCAGCCTTGTGCCACCAGCAGTCGCTTTGTGTTCCTCCAGGGCAGAGCAAGCACTGCCAAGTGATGGCTTTGACATTTACTGTCCCTTTTATACAGCACTTGGCTCCACACAGGCTGGGGTTTTCTTTCTCCTCAGTCTTAGCAATAACTCCCATCTGGGAAGCTGACATTTTTTATGGGCAGGCATAAAGTGTTGGAATAGCTGTCTGTAACCAAATGTCCACTACAGGAGAAGGGATACTTTAAAAGCAGACTTTATTTTTTGACATAATTAGAGCAGGATCCTTCAGTACCACAAGGAAGAGCTGAGTGTAGATGGCTCCCCCAGCCTTTTTATATTGCTGGAATAAGTCTCCACAAGGATCCCCTGCTGGCCTGGGGCAGACAGGACACACATCACTGCTCCCACACACACAGTTCTAGACAATAACAAGTTCTGCAACAACTGCTTTCAATTATTCTTGCAATTCAAACAGAGCAAGAGCTGGCTGGATTTCTGTCCCAGTATAATTTGCCAAGCAGAATGATCCTCCTGCTTCAATCCAGCACCCGAGACCTTGCATCAGCACTTTGGGGGTGGCTTTGTTAATCCTTTCTGCAGGGAGCAAAATGACAGCGACATTTGTGTTCTCCAAGACCACCTGAGATCACAATAACATTAATGGGTCAGAAGAAAGACAAGATCTGAAAAACTTGTGAAATATTGAAGAAAAAGATACTTTTTCATAAAAAAGATTGAATTCTTTTATTAGTCTACTTTTGTTCTCATTAAAATGGTGAGAATTTTTTCCCATCCAAGTATTTCTTGTTATTATGGATAATAAGGTGTATTCATCAGCAAAATATTGTCCCCTGGTATATTTGCAAGACGTCTTATGCAGCACAGAGAGAAGATATATTCTACTCAATATTTTCTAGCTTAAAAATAACTACAGATCAGGAAAAATGCAATTGCAAAGATATAAAAGGCAAAAAATAAATTATTTTGATTAATTAATGTCACTTAGTTAAATACATATTCTTTCTTCATATTCTTCTTGGAAATAATTTCCTTATTTACTTCCTAGGCTGAAAGTGACAGTTGAAAAGGAAAGGAGCATTACAGCATCACTGCCTGACATGGTCACAGTAAAAATTTCCTTGGTCAAGTTTCCAGATGATTTCCTTGGGCTCTATTTCTTGAACACCGACCGTTTTTCGGACAAAGTCACTGGAGTTCTGGGTGTGTATCAGCATGGATGTGTGCAGCAAAGAATGCTCTTGTAACTCAGTTCCTGAAATGAGAGTGCAGTCAGGGGTTTGTTTCAGGGAGCTCTTGAGAAACTTTGCATTTAATTTATTCCTTTTGGACATTTAACTTCTACTGCCCAGCAATCCCAAAAAAGAGAGGTCTCACCCTGGAAACATAACACATAACACAATGCCTTTCCACTCACCAGTGGCACAACCCAGAGTAGCCCATTATGGCTTTAGAAGATGTTAAAATAAGACAGAAATAATAGTTGGGCTTAACCTCAACAGTGCTGTGGAATGACATGATTGATGCAGAAAATTCATTTGATGTCCAATTACAGACTATAAATAATAGACATAAAAATTGTAAACAATCATGGTTAGGAAATGAAAGCCAGCTGCTCCTGAACATTTTGGCTCCAAAAATCCTGGTGGGACCTAAGATGAAGTTGTTTTGGAAACTTTGCAAACAGAGAGGCTCCATATTCCAAAAACCACAAGGAAGAAATAATCACAAAAACCATCAGAGAAAGGCTGAACCTTCCCATGGAGAGCGTTAGGGATAACAGGAGATCACAGATGAAACAGAGGAATTTTCTAATCTTACTAATGGAGTATCCAAACTTGATCTTTGATTTGTTTTCTGAGATGAAGAGCTGCTCTCCTGGTGTTAGAGCTGCCATTTGGCTTAAACAAACAGCAACACTTTGGTTTGTGTTTTTTAATAATTTCTGCGTCTGTTGTTTAGGTCAATTTTATTCAAAAGCACAGTTTGAGAGTAACTCCAACAACGATCAGAGTGCTGTGGAAAGACTCCTGAGAGTGTCGGGATCTGAGCACAAAGTTTCCAGGTACCCAGATATGGAGGGAGGGAAGAGGGTGTGCTTTGAGAAGTATTTGATCAGCAGATACCAGAGGTCAAAAGAAATGAAACTGAGGGAGTGTTTGTAAGAACACACCTCTTCGTTGTAAATAATTTGCATTTAAATTTTTTCCCAAAAGCCTGCATTTGCTGTTTAAGTGATGCTATAGGGCTCAAGGCTCCTATTTCATTGAGGGGAAATAATTACATTCTGGGGGGGTACAGCTTGCATTGTTTTCCTGGACAGGGAGGGTGTTCCCTCAGTTGGATTTACCATGAGGAAAATTTTCTATCCTTCAACTATTTTTAGCATACATCTGGGATGGGAAAAAAAGCTGTGACTGTGCAGGTCCTGGGAGTGCTGAGGTACAGCTCTGCCCACCCAGACCTCTGACTCCTGGTACCATCTGCACATCAGGGCAATTCTTACCCTGCTCTTTGATTGTGTTATCACAATTTCTCTTGTTTTGATTTCATTTCAGGTTGTACAAGAAAGATTACAGGCTTGAGTCAGCCAGTGAACCTGTTTCCTGCTGGTCGATAGAACTAACACCCTAGGAAAAAAATATATTTGAAGAAAATTATGCAAATGAAGCTCTTCCAAGTATTTTTGGTACTTTCATCAAGAAAACCACACAGTTAAATCCTTACTGTTGCTCTATATATGTGTCACAAATATTTTATCATGAAATAATTATACTTTCAAGATGTGACAGTCCTTGCTTTTTTGCTATTTGAAAATGGTTTCTAATCTGCCGTGTGGTTTTGTTGTTGAAGATTTATGTGAATGAACTAAATAAAATTGACATCATCAGCTCCCAGTTTGATATGGACATGTGGACATGGGTTTCCAAATAAAAATCAGTAGTGTCATCATCCAAGCCAATAAGTGTGTCATGCAAACAGTAATAGATCTCTAAAACTTTATCCGGTTATCGATGGTGGTGTTCTTGAACTGTGCATTTTGTGAAAACACCATGAAATTTGAGACAGTATTAGTTTACCATGTCTCTCATTTTCTATTTTATTGCTGTATCAGGGTTCTCTTCAAGGTTGTTCTGTGAGACCATTCAAAGCCCATGAAATCAGCAGTGGAATGGAGCTGTGTGTGGGATGCAAACCCACACCAGCTGTGCTCCAGTTCATTGTTGCAAAAGTCTCTGAGGCTCCCTTTTGGAAACATCTGCAGAACAGCCATTGGCTGGTTGCAAAACCTCTGGTTACAAAACACTGCATTTCAACCCCAAAAGTTAGCAGCTTTTTTTGGCTCAATTTCATACATTTTGCAAACATTAGAAGATGTTTTACAAATAATGAACATCTCAAACCCAACCTGTTGTGCACGGAGGTAACACTGCAGAGTAAGCACACACACAGAAGCCTCTGCCCATGAAATCCAAGATGTAGTTTCAGTCTTCTGCTTGTTGTAGGTTTTAATTCCAAAATTATTTTGTTTTAGAATTTCAATTCCTTTGTATCTTTGAATTTGAACTGCCAGCATTGTAGGCAGTTTAACAGAAGTTTCTTTCTATCCTGCCAATAATATATAACTGGAAAAACCTTTTTATTTTTAAGCAATGTACTAAAAGAGAAAAAATTTCTTGCCAGAGTCAGTAAGCTAAAACAAACTGTGTCATTAGAAGCCTGTTTTTTAAAGAACTGTGCAGACACGATGCCAAGATATGTTTGTGTGAATTGCTTGTACTTTCAAGGTGCCCATTTTACTGCACAAATTACATGAAAAACAATGTGAATTTGGAAACTGGAAATATTAGATTGCTCACTTCACTGCAGCAAAACCAAGGTTCCCAATCTGATTGTTTCCACTGTAGATGAACTTGGGATTTGAATCACAAGCTATTGATCCAGGGTTATACCAGCAGGCTTGCTGCAAATTAAATATTCCCTGCTTTCATTATAGGGTGTCTGTGCATCACCTCCTGCCCTGCTCTGAGCAGCAGGGAGAGAAACAGCACTGAGCAGGGAGCAGTGGCTCATGGCTGAGGCAGCTTTCACCTGGGACCTTTTTCTTTAAGTGAGGCTCAATCAGGTGCAGGCCATGCTTGAGAGCTGTACTCAACCTGCAGTGCCTGAGCTGTCCCAGGCAGCTGCTGCCCTGCTAGTGCAGCTCTCCCTTGTTGCAAAGAGGCTCTGGGCCAGGGAACTTATTAAGGTACGACAGAAACTCCTCACATTGTTCAAAGATTTTATCTGACTTTGAATAGACAAGTTGTGCTGACAGAGGATTCTGTGCTTTCTGCAGCAGCCCGAAGTCGCTGGTGTGCCTGGCTGCTGCAGCTCCCAAATCCATGTAGTGCTGCTTGCCCTCTGCACATGTGCTTTCCATTCTGTAAGTAGGTGCTGTTCCACTCTTCACTTGAGTTGTCTCTTACTTTGTTGTTTAGTCACTCTCCTCCTGTGCTTTCCAAGCCCCAAAGTGAGTTCTGGTGGGTTTCTGATTTCCTGTGCTCCCTTCCCTTGTTCAGAAGCTGAAGGAAGATGCAGTAATGAATATTTGGCATTTTGTAATTTCTAATTCCAGTACAAAATAGTGTCAGTGTATATGTAACAGATCTATGCATATCTCACAGGATATGGCCCCACACTTCTCTTTTAGCCAGCACTGTAGCCATCAGCAGGAGGATTAAATGTTTTATCTAACTGTGAGCATCTGTCTGCTGCTTCTCTCTGCCCTCTGTTACCTTTAGCTGCACTTGCTGTTACCTCCTGCCTTGCAGGAATCTCTGAGTGCTTATTGAACAGGAGCCATGCAAAAGCACACTGAGAGCAACTTATGGTTCCCAAATCAGTCACAGACAAGACTCCTGCCAGTTCCAGAGATTTGCCTCATCCCAATAAAGCAAACAGGAAAGTTCTGGCTGGCCCAGGATTGCCTTGTGCCCAAACTCTGCCAGCCAGGTAGGTCAAGGTCTACTTCCACTGCTCTGCTTTGTGTGTTAATGGAGCAAGCTAGGACAAGACCCATGGACAGTGGCACAGCTCCTGTCTCAGGATCCAAAATGGATAATTTCTTCATTTCATTCTATTCCATTCCATCTGATTAATTCCCTTACAATAAAAATTTAGAACAGTGTAAACTTAAACTTACGGCTCCAATGTTCTGGTCTTCTCTCACTGCTTCCTTTTGCTCTCCCTGCCTTCCTTGTTATCCAGGCACTTATTGCCTTCTGTAGAAATTACTGTATTCTTTCACCACTTCTGTCTGGATTTAGCAGGCAAAGATCTGCAGTCACCCTCTAACCCCACCTGTTCTTTTTCTTCTACAAAACTCCTGCTTTCAGTAAAGGATTTTGCTCCTCAGAAAACCCTGTATCTCCCATAAATTCACCAGTAAGTATATCTTTCCTCTATTTTTTCCTCTTTGATTCTTCTGTTGCATTTTTTTCACCTCTACTTTTATTCTTTCCATTTAACCTATCACATCTTCTATCATCTGTTTCTCCCACTGCACTCCTCTTTTCTCTGTGTTCTGCATTCTATTTTTCCACACAATTACTTTCTTTGTCTTGCTACTGTTGGGGATTTTTCTGCTTTGTCATGTGAGACCACAACTGCCATTTTGTGGCTGATTTGGTTAAAAGAAATCTTGAAGTAAATAAGAAATATAGGACGGAGAGAACATGTTTTTGGTTGGGTGGGATTTTTGCTTTAGAAGTAAGAGTTTGCAATTTCTTGCAGTAAAAAGTGAATACATAAATAAATGGGGCACTTGACCTGAATGTGTTCATAAATTCTTTTATGGGAACAGAAGGAAGGAAGGGTCTTCCTCAAGAAAGATACCATCCAAAAGAGCCATCATTACTCAAATGTGAGTGCTGCTTTCAACTTTGATGCTTCATTAACTTTTACAAATTCAGACATTCAACAGTTAGGTTCAAATTAAAATGCTAAAATACAGAAGTCCTGGATGCCAGCAGTCACCTCGTTTGCTGGCAGCAGCCCTCAGCACTGCACGTGGTTCCAAGTAGCACAGGATTATCCCAAAATCTGGGCTGGGCTGTCAGATATCCTCTTGTGCTCAATTTCAAAATGCATCTGGCACCCAGGGCTTTGTGAAACTGGCATGAGAACATTAAGCTGTCAGAGTAACAAAACCAGGCACTGAGTACTGATACTTTTATTTAATCACTCCTGACACTCAATTATTGATTTAAAATTGGGTAGAGTTATGTTTTACAAAGTAACATTTTAAGTCAGAATTTTAAACCTAGTAAGGAGGATACTTCAGAGGATGAGGGATCCTGCGGTCCAGATTGGATCAAATACACAGTAAAACTCTATGAGAATCCATCATACATTGTCCTTGCTAAACATGTCTGCTTATATGCTTTGAATAGATCTCATGTATTGAAAATACTGTTCTTTCAAACAAATATTTTCTGTCTGTGCATTTGGAGGAAGTTGCTTAGAAGAGACTGGAAACAATATAATCTGTGTGAGCACCATCTATCAGCCCAGCTCCATTGTCATGGACGAACCAGCAAGGAATATCAACCCCGTGTGCAGGATCTCCTCTGTAATCCTTCTGCCAGCCCCTGAAAGGGAAAACACAGCCATGGGAGTACTGAGGTAGGAGCTGCACCTGGACAAGGAATCTTGCTAAGGACTTCATTATTTTGTACCTTGTTACTGTCAGTTCATTGTTTTTAACAATCATTGTGGCATCTGGTTTCTTGGGATCAGACCCAGGATGAATTTCAAGTATGGTGAAGTCAATGGGCTGGAAAAATTGTCCTAAAAAGAGAAGCTAACATTACCATTTCAGGCATGAAAACAGAAGCAAAGCAAACAGAAATCCCAGATTTTCTACATCCCTGTGCTTGTTTCCATGTCCCTTCAGAGTTTGGATTGGATAAGCAAACACCAAGTTTCAGGTAAGATTGAACATATGCCTGAGGTATTATTGATATTATTTTCTGTTTATAACCCAGAATTGTATCCACATCATCTGGATTTAAGTTCCAGCTTCTGATGCACAGAACAGTTACAGCCTTTTCTAGATATCTTTCAAGATATCCTTACTTGGTGTGTTGTCTATTCTGTTGAATTTATTACACATTTTCCAAGTCTTCAGCTTTTTAAAAATCAAATAATCCATGTGTTGATCTCTGAAATTTCTGGGTGTGATTATTTTCAGCACAAGTACAATATTAGATCTATAAATTATGTAGCCTCATAAAGAAAGACCAGCAGGGAAACACTAAACAAAATCATACCTAATAATCCATGGGTCTGTTCAGACAGTTTATCACTTTTCAATGTATACAGTCCCAGGAAATCTTGGTGGAGAGGATGTTTCTTCCACACTTGGTGCAAAACAACAACAAATGAGGCACCACTGCCCATTGAGAGCACCAGATTTTTTTTCCTGTTAATTATCAATGTTAAACTGAGGGAAAAAGAAAAACATGACTTAGAACATTGTGTTTACCAGAGTTAATAGCAACAGAAAGAAATGTGAGAAGGCAAATGTAGCTTTATAAACTGAGCAGTGTTTTGTAAGAGAGAGTGTTTGCTGCCTGGTTTGCTCCATGGAGTCTCTCTGTGTATTCACAGAGAGTCTCGGAATCATATTAAATGACACTGGAAAAGGCTACCTGGCCTTTAAACTTTTCAGCAAGATATTTTTAGCAAAACCTGTCCTTCAACAGTGTTACAGATAGTTGGTGATATGTAGATACAGAATGTAGATGCTCAGTGATAAAAATTCTATTATTAAACAATCAGTTCTTTGGCTGAGTGTTACATAACACTTTTTCCTTTAGTGTTTCAGAGAAGTCAACTCCCAAACTGCCTGTTTTACTGCTAGGATAGAGAAGATTTGCTTCTGATTGTGTCAGTGATATCATCCATGTGTTTATCACA